GGAGACTTTCTTCCTGTTTCCTTTCTTGTTCCAGTTGCCCTGCTGTAGTCTCTCTTCTTGTTTATTTTCTTTCTCATCCAACCACTGCTATAGTCTCTCTTCTTGTTTCTTATCTCATTCTTCTTGTTTCTTTTCTTTTCCCTCCAACAACTGCTGTAATCTCTCTTGTTTATTTTGCTGTTTGAGCTGCCACTGTTGCAAGTTTTCTTGCCACTGCTGTTGTCTCTCTTCTTGTTTCTTTTTTTTTTCATCCAACAACTGCTGTAACCTCACTTGTTTATTTTGCTGTTCGAGCTGCCACTGTTGCAGGTTTTCTTGCAACTGCTGTTGTCTCTCTTCTTGTTTCTTTTTTCATTCTTCTTGTTTCTTTTGCTGTTCTTGTATTGCTGCCATCAAATCTGGTAAGCTGTAGTTTGATTTGCCACTTCTATTTCTATCTTCTTTTTTTTTCTTTTATCCCATTCTCTGACACCAATTTGTTGCATATCTGCTCGTTTGTTAATTTCTGGTATAAATTCTTTCCAAGGAACTTCAGCGATACGAGTCCTTTCTTAGTTAAAACTAGTTTATTCTTTCTCGATACAACTTTGCAATACACAGAATTTCCACATTCACTTTAACTTAACTTCTTTTGTAAACACGCTATAATTCACAGCGATTCACACACTTTACTTAAGGTGCCTGCTGTTCGATTGACTCAATTTTCTCTCTTCAGTCTATCTCCGGCTTGTATACTAAAAAAGAGGGCGTCTAGCAAACGCTGGGACATTCTTGAGGTTGCCCGATAAGTCATGATCCTTCTAGAAACTCCAGCTGTCGTAACAATATAATAAATACTTGGTGGTAAGATAAGCTTGCTGTGATTGTTATCTGCATTAACAAAACATTAAAAAAAAACTTGTTTCAACAGGCCAAGCTTGTTGTTCTCCTCCTTCCCTTGAAACTAGTCAGGTTTTTTTATGTTTTGTTTTTAACACAGTGTTTAATATTGTAGACTCAAAATTAAGAATTAGTTTGAGTGGTATTTTCATCTGATAGTTATTGTTGTGAATGTTCTAGATGAGTTTTAGGACTTCATATTGTAGCTCAGCCTGTAAAGTAAAACCCAAATTTCGATCAAAGAAGTATGATGGCAGCTTCAGTGTGCACAGGCTTCTAGGGTCGTAGGTAGAGGTTATTGCAACCTTATGCACTAAAACCATATTACTTTTGTTTTCCACATTCCTTGTTAAACAAAGGTTTCTATCAATGTATGAAGAAGTTTGCACCTAGTTTACATAATCTAAAAGCTATTAAATGTGCTAATATCACTAATTTCTTTGCTTAAGGCTTGGTGCTGCCATTTAAACTTACCAATTAACATCTGTAACATTATGTTATTTCCTTACTAATTATAAGTTTCAATAAGCTTATGCTTAATTTAATAAAAAAAACTTTAATATCAATGCCAGTTTTTACTGCTTAGTTACAATCAGTATAATTTTAAACTTTCTAGTCTGAATTTCTGTTTGTTGTTTTTTCTTAAAGAACTAGGGGAATTACTAAATGATAGATCAGAGCCACTTTAGGATTTCATTGTAGTGTGTAAAAAGGTTTGTATATATATGCATTGTCAGAAATATGATCATAGCAAGGAAGCAACATAGTGAAAATATGGGACAAATTAATCTAATCATTCTAAACATAGCCTATTCTCACATGGATATGAATATGTCAAATTTCACTTATTTATTATTTATTTCTACGTTTTGTAGAAATTGAACAAGAGAAGGGTCAGCAGAAGCTTCTAGAAGGAATCAAAAGCTTTGATACTACTAAGATGAAGCACAGTGAAATGACAGTGAAAAATCCTTTACCTACTAAGGATGGTAAGAAAAGTAGTTCCCGTATCTCATAGTCAAGGAAAATAACATGTGATTTAATAGAATAATAATAAAAAGATAGTTAAACAATCTAAATACTATCTCAAACTAACATCAATCAGGAGAATGCTAAAGCAAATTGAAAGTGCATTCTGAGTTTCATTTGGTAGTGTTACATGTGTAAACTAAAATCAGTATTCTTGTAAGGTGGATGTAGGCAGTGTACTGTTTTCTATGACTAATTGATTTCAAGATGTTTTGGGAACCATGTTGAGTAGGTCTTTCATCAGGGGTGATGAAGAACTCGGCATAAAGCCAAAAATAAAATGCTAGAATTCCAAAGAAAAATGAGTATTACCAAAAACAAGGCTATTTGACCATTTAGAGACAATACTCATTTTAAAAAGACACTTAAAGCTAATTTTTTTTCATGTAGCAACTGTGTTAACATATCATATTTACATTAACTATATTTCTAATGGAGACTTTAAGTTTGATAGAATTGAATAGAGGGAGTCACATGCATCAAGAGTGTGTGTTGCACTCTGATAGGTGGAGGTTTGTTGCATGATAATTTGCATGTGAGGTGCAATTGAATTAGTCATTCCAGATGGGAGTTTCAAGGCTTGTGGCGTGCACAAAAACATTTTGCATATAGAGGGCAGCACTGAACGAGAATAGCTGTTTATGTGAACGGAGGTAATTACCTATCAGAAATACATTTTCTGTATAGGAAAATTATAACTTTGGTTTTGGTTAATCTAGTGAAAGATATGTTAAGGCTGTTGGTTTAATTTTCCATATGGAAGATTTCGGTGTCAGTGAAACCCTATTAATGTTGTTTGCTCATTACAAATATTTCATGTCCTTTAATCTTTCCTCACATTTTTTAGACTATATTTAATAAGAAATATGAAAATTAATTTATTACCATTGGTGGGATCTTTGTAAGTTGTAGTTTTATTGAACTTATACACACTCTTTTTAACTATTATAACCCAAAACAGGCAAATCTCACTCGTTTTCACAAGGGATAGAATGTACATAGTAAAAAAAAAAAAGTTAAATGATAATTGAACTATTTTCATCCTACCAAACAATAAAAAACAGCTAGATTTAAAATCTAGAATATTCTTCTTACTACATTAGGACACACCTTAACATCTATACATATAGTTTGACAAACTGACCAGGATAAGATCTGAATAACCATTCAAACAATAAATGTGATTATTCTCTTTGAACTCTTTTAATTTTCTTATATTGAAGTCATTAAGATGTTATTTTACTAAATTATCATCAGAAGTTTCACTCATAATAATAATAATTATTGTTATACTACCTTTGTCCATTTTTTTTTATTTTCCATCCAGCAAAAACTTTACAATCTTCTGAGTGTAATGTTACCCAATATAGTTATTCTATATTGAAAATCTATGTCAAACTTAGTCTGTTGACATAACTTCCATGTATTTTTGCTCATATAATTCATAACTTGTTTTAGGTTCATAAAGAGGTTTGAAAGATAGTTATAAAAACTAGTTACAAATGATTTCTCCACTTTAAAAATGGAGATTTCCAGTGTAACATTTTTACCTGATTCACAAAAAAGATATTTCATTTAGACCTAAGTACGTTCTTTCATAGCATGCTGCGTTGTCTAATTAAAAGTATTTATCTTTTTTTTTTCTTTTAGTGATCGACCAAGAAAAAAGCAGCAACTAGGCTTGAACTTGGGTAACTGATTTCTAAACATACAACCCAAGGGATCAGTAACTTACAAGTTCACTACCTGGAAAACTCAAACTTGCCAAATCCATTATGTATTCCATGAAGAAAATAAAAATGAGTTTTCAAGGCGCTGCCAAATTTTTTAATCGAATAAACAATCCTGTAAAAAACAAACTAATTAAATAATTATACCAAATATTCCATAAGTTTTGATCCATATTGATACAAACTCTGTAATTAACTACATATCAAACTAAAATTTAATATCAGTATTTTACTTTACTCTTTAATAGTCTCACCAGGTGTTTATTGTAGTAATTGATTATAAGAATGTGTGTGTGTGTTCAGATTCGAAGCTTATGATAATACACAAGCTTATTTGTTTGTTTTTCCTCCTTTATTATTCCAATATCACTACTCTCAATTGTTTTTACTAATTTTTAAATATAAGTATGATACAGAGGCAATAGTGCAGTTTATTATTACTGATGTTGGGCGTTTGTTATAATATATAAATGTGCTTGTACTTCTTTTTCCATTTATAAACTAGTCCTTAATATATCTGATACTAACAAATTTTACACAAGTTAATTATTTTTCAGTAATGTGCATGGACCTTCAGCAAGGAATTTTTTGTTTTTGAAAATGATATATAAATACAATCATAGCAAAAAAATAGAGTTGATCTGGAATAATTCCAAAATAAAAAGGGGACCAATAATTTGTACTAAATCTTAAAATGTTTGATGTATACATGATTTATGTACATATCCTGAAATTTCTTTGTTTTTGTTGCTTCAGTGACCATCTTTATTTGAATAAAATTACCACAGTTATGTACTTATTTCAGAATGTATGTAACTTAATAATTACTGGTTTTTTCACACTTACATGTGCATCTATCAAAGCCACCCCAAGCTGCTCACCAGTTAGTTTAAAGGCTAATAATATTAAACATCAGGTTTTGATACTAGCAGTGGACACAGCACAGATAGCCCATTGTGTGGCTTTGTACTTAATAACAAATAACATGTTAAAACCCTGTAAATTCATATTTGAAATTTAAAAATTTTTTTTTCTTTTCAAAGAAAATTGTGAATGTTTTGTTTCTTTGTAATGCAAATGGCATTTGAATATGTTTTAAATATGAATTATTTTTCAAAACTCATGCTAGTTGAAATCATTAAATTATACTTTTACTGTAAAGATTTTTCACCATTCTTTCATCTTTCAGTAGATCTTTATCTTAGCTAATGTCTTCTGCTTGATAATTTTTATCTTTTATATTTACAAATGAATACATTTTTTGTTTCTGTTTATTTTTAACAAATAGTAATAACATCTTAAAATAATATTTTTATAATGACTTCTATCACTTGGCTTTTTTTTTTTAATTTAGTAAAAATAATGCAAAGTCCAGTCCACTTGTTTGTAGTAAGTTAAAATAAAGCTAAACAGTTGCTTATTAAATTTCCTCTCTTGTCTACAACACAAATCGAATTGGGCTCACTAACACAGTTGCTAATTTTGTAATCACTTGACACCACTGTAAGAGATTCACTAACTAACTTACTTATCTCGGTGAGTAACTAACTATCCAACAAACTTCAGTTGTTTAAATATTGTTACACTATTTTACCTTAACTCTTTAAAAAAAAATTGAGACATTGAATTTCATATGTCGGATTGATCCTAGGAGATTGGAAACTTCTAGATATCACCTATCATCATTCATCCTACCCAGACTCCATTGAAATATTAAAGATATAAGTGTTTGAAATAAGTGGTTTACACTTGTCCTAGACTGTACAACCCAAATGCACTACTAAGTTGTCCATAGGACTACTGCAATGTGACCCAATCCCATGGCAGTCTAGATGTGTAGCCCTTATTGTATCACTCAAAGTGATAAATTGCGAGTAATATGTCTGAATACCATGTTACGAGTTACATGGAGACAGGATCATCAATGCTACACATACTGTTTACAAATAAATGCCCTTTATAATGTCTTGCAAGCTTGTCACAGTTTATAACCACTAACAGATAGACACTGAAAAAATTTTGATAATACCACATTCAATTCTACCATTTACATTTTGCATGTTTTAGTACATTAGATTTGTATACCATTTTTGATGTAAGTTGTGGATCTGAAATGGCTAAACAAACTTTGCTTTTTCTCTTTAACTTTGTGTTAAAGACAAAGTAGGCACAAAGTTCTTTGAAAAGAGGCTGATCATGAATACAATCAAAACAAACACAAAAAAACACATTATGTGGCTGAAATATGACTAAGAGAAAGGGGTCATGTTCTGCTCATAAAGTACCTCAATAAAATCACAATTTTCTATCTACTAATGAGCTATCTAGTGTGATATTTGATTTAAGACAATGTAACACCAAGTTTGTAATTTGGTTTAGCCAACTAACTTGTTCATTCAAGTGTGAACAGTCAGAATTGGCCTGATGATGGTCCACTGGACAACCCAGCCTGTAAGTCTTATTTTGAACACTACATAACGTTGCCCCCTCTCTGGATTATGAAGTCCCTTGAACATTATTAATACACAAAGTAAACAGTACACTAAAATTCCATAATTCGCAATAAAGTCACTTTTTTACACTTACCAAAAATTTATATTAATAAATAAGTATTACAATCACTATATCATTAATTAAACTTGTTAAACCCAGTACAATTGAAATTTAGATTAGCAAAACAAAATTTTTAATATCTTACTTACTGTATCTAAACTGTCCATGCAGGAAAAGTTATTTTCCTTGACTTAAGGTGCAAAAATGGGATGACACTTTTCCTGGTTATCATTTGCTATCTTATTACTGGGGGAGTTCTCTCCAAGCACATGTTCAAGAGATTGACCTTTCCACTGGCAAAGTATGATCTCTGAAACTAACCAGTTTGCCATTTTCTCACCAACATACTTCCAGAAACAATCGATATGAATGTTCTTGGTTTTGTATACCACATCATTGATTCTTTTCACTGTAACATAACACTGTCTTTCTTAAAACCAACTTAACTTTGGTGTCTATCTCTCTTACGGCAGGAGTTGTACAGCCATACCACATCACCAAGATGAAATCTGTTTTTACCAGTATTTGCATCATAGTGACTTTTCATCTTATCTATGGCCAATTGAAGTGTTTTTTTTTGTACAACATCAGTGGTGTTATGTAGTCTCTGGATATTCTTTGAGTGATTATCCACAAGATATGAGTACAGAAAGCCTAATAGCTCTTTGAGTCCTTTCTTCTCTGAATTGTGTAAAATGTTGGATATGATGAAAATGCAAAATCCACCTTATAACCACCAGTCAGATGGTTTAGCAGAACAGGTAATGCAAACTACCAAGCATATTCTGGCCAAGTTTGTTAATCTTAGCTGGACCAACTGGGATTATCACTTCCTGTACATTATAATGGCACGCAGAACAACCAAATGGAGGTCTATAGGCTGTTAGCTGAACATTCTCATATTAAGATGGGAAAAACTACTCCCTGGTGACATGATGTTTGGTCCTTCCCCACGAGTTGAAGTTCTACAATGGTTACAGGAATAGGTGAAGTGGTTAGGTCTGCATTAATCAATGCACACAAATTTGCTGGACAACAACTTGGAAAGGCTGCTTGACAAAATAAGTGCTATGAAAAGATGGTAAAAGAAAAAAATGTACCAGTGGGAGATTGTATCTGGTTGTGGTACATGCTAAAAGCAGCTTGAATCCAGCTGGAAAGGTTCATGCCTTCTACTTCTGCAGGTTGGTCCATTGATGTAGAAGTTACAATGAATATAAGATGCACAAAAACGCATGGAATACACCAATAAGTTGCATTAATATGTCACAGAAGAACCTCTCATACACTGGCTTGATCTGGAGTTGAAAGGGGATGTGGATTCTTAAAAAGGAAAAAGAGCTATAAGCTTTTATCTGGCTGTTCTTGTGAATCGTTGGAGTTAGAAGCAAAAAACAGCTAGTGTCAACCTCTCAATCGATATGGGTGGGACTGGATGATCACAGAGCTAGAATAGTCGCTGATTATAACATCATTTACAAAAAGAAAGTAGCAATCCTTGCTTTCCAAGCTCTCAAGTGATGTTTACAGTACAGTGTATGAACCAGATAGCCTGATATCCACTTGATTACTCCACAGTAAGGATAGTTACTAATTATAAGATGAATGTGACAAGAAAGGTTTAGCCACCTTTGCTTTCTAAGCTATCAAGAAGAGTTTCGCTAGAGGAATTATCCACCGATTACCTCCACCTACGACATTTGAGCTAGATGATGTAATGCCTAGTACACCAATAGTTTGCACAAATGAAAATGGTTGCTAAAAGTTTGAAAACTCAACTGAAAGGGTTTTGCAACTCTTGCTTTCTGAGCTCCAAAGTGATAGTTTATGGTGTAATGTAAGTCTTACATTTCAAGATTACCATTTGATTTACTTCATAAGGTAGGACAGTCATATAGTTGATAAATTAGTGACTGAAAGGACATTGCAACCCTTACTTTCTGAACCACAGAGTGCAATTTCTGATGAAAAGCATCATCCATTATTTAAAGAGAATCACCCCCTTGATCTGATTGAGTGATGATAACTTTATGAAGCATGTCACCTTCGTAATCACTAGATTCTCTCCTGTATGCCTGGAAAGTATCCCAATTCTAGATGCAGTAAGAGAGCCGTGTTTCTTCTGAGTGAAGTTAAGATGTAGTAGTTGTAACATTATGGGTATTAATCCTGGCTGATAATAATTTTAGCGGAAAATCTTAGTTTGGCTTCCTACTAGAACCGGGCTCTATCCATACAATAGCCAAATGAAAAAGAGAGGAATAATGCTGGGTTAGAGAGTAAATCGCATTGTCTTTTGTCTGGCAGGAACGACAGAAAGAAACAGCTGAAGGAACTGGTCAATCAGGGACTCCATAAAGCACAGGGACTGTAAAGTCCTCAAGAACTAGAGCTACATTTCCTATGGGTGATATATAGTATGAGTACATGTGAAGTCCATAGAAATATTATTTGACTAATGTATAGTTATGATCCAATCACTAATGCATTTTTAGAGCACACAATGCTCGTAACCTAGTTATTATGAACCTTTTCAACCTATGCACCTAACTGAAATTTTGACCATTTGGAATTCACTTGACATTATATTTTCGATCTGGTCTTTAGCCATGTAAGATTGAATTTTTGATGCTTCTACCTTTGTTTCTGTTCAAAAGAGTAGCTCAAGAGTTGGCGGTGGGTGGTGATGACTAGCTGCCTTCCCTCTAGTCTTACACTGCTAAATTAGGGACGGCTAGCGCAGATAGCCCTCGTGTAGCTTTGCGCCAAAAACCATAACAAACAATCACTGTCAGATTAGGGACTGCTAGCGCAGATAGCCCTCGTGTAGTTTTGCGCGAAAAATTCAAAACGAATGTGGCTTTCTGTTCAAATAGCTAGTAGTTTTTCATTTTTTATTACTTAATGTCTTTCCAAAGCATGATGGAAGATCATTGTGAAGAGATGACAACTTAGCTGAAGTCAGCCAGCGTGGACCAGTGAAGCAGATTTCCAACATCAAACCTGATATCCATTAACATTGAAAGGATCACAGCAATTTAGAAATTATTATATATTTATTAATTTGTTTTTACTTCATTATATATATATATATATATATATATATACTAGCAGTAGGAGGTGAGTACGTT